GTGCCAGGGCAGCAGCACCTGCCATGGTGGCCACAGCCAGGTGTGTGCCCCATGGTGTCTTTGGCCAGCCAGGTGTGTGCTCAGCACCCTCCCTGTTCAGTCTGGAAGAACAAGGCCAAGGCCTCGACCCCGTCGTGCTCACCATGGAGCTGGACATACTCCCCGATGCGATCCGCAGCCTCTGGAGAGAGACCCTTCTCTCCCACCATCTCACTCCTCACTTCTTCCCATGCCACCTGTGAGGGGAGAGAAGATCATGAGACACTGCCCCAGGGACACGGGCTCTCCTGGGAAGGGCTTTGGTCTGATGAACAGACATCTGCCACCAACAGATGCATGGCAGAACCCATCAATGTCAGTGTGGTTAGGAGGTGCAGGAGAGAAGCATCACATCAGATGCTCTCACAGCACAGTCACATATTCACAACTCCATTTCTTGTACCTCTGCACAGTTTGTTTGTATCCCAACCCTAGAAAAATACTTTGGGCTTGATTTCTTTCCAGAATTGAACACCAGCACTGTAAAAGCACTAAGCTGAGGGCTGTCTTGCTGCTGTGCTTTCCCTGGTTAGGTACTTAGTCATAAACACCACTCAGGAAAGTGTTGCTGGCCATGGAACCACCTGGAAAGATGTGAGGAGGTGGTTGGGTGATGCAAAAACTCAATGCAAGCAGAATATGCTGCAGTTTTACCACTGAACAAGAGGTCAAAGAGACCTAGAGTCTTGATCACACCCAGCTGCACTCAGATAAATCACAACAAGGAAATGATCCTACTCTAAAAAAGCCCAATGTTCCCTTCCTATTGCTTTTCCACCACAGCCCCCAAACCCATTTTCCCCCTGCCCCCTTTCCATTTCAGGGGATACCAGAGGATCCACTTTTCTTACATGACTGCTGTGCTGTACCAGAGAAAGGGAAGAACAAGAACTCTATGTTTATCAGTATTTTCCAGGCAGTTCTCATGGACCATGGAGGAGCAGCCCAGGGGGACAGAATCACACTGGGACTGCAGCAGCAGCAGCAGCAGCCCTGGGCTGCAGCCCATACCTTATCCAGTTTGTCCACACTGGAGCAGATGGTTCTGAACTTGCTGTCTGGGACGCCACACACTGCAAACATCCCATCGAGGATGCGCCGGTCGTTCACCTGGGGAGAGGGAGCACAGCAGGAACTGTCAACTCAAACAGGTGCTTCAGCAGTGTCCAGGGAGTGGGTCTGGATGAGCTTTAAGGTCCCTTCCAAGCCAAACCATTATGTAATTCTATGGGTCTAGTTGGCTGCTGGAATTTTGCAGGGGACTTTGGTTAGTCCTGAACAGAACTCTGCCAACTACAACCTCAGGAAACCTCCTGTTGTTCCTGGCTCAAGGCAAGTCCAAGCTGAGGTCCAGCCTTTAGCATATACACCATGAGGAGGCAAGAGGTGGGTAAAACCACAGGAACAATGACCACTGCTCCCCATCATGACCCAGAGAACCTTCCCACCTTCATGTCTCACCTTAATGACAAAGTCCCCGAGCTGCAGGTCACTCAAGATCTCATGGACAATCTTCAGGCACTCGGCATCAGGAATCATGGGGTCAAACTGCCCAGCAATGTCAAAGTCCTGAGGGCAGAGGAAAAGGCAGTGAGCAATTCAGCACCACAGCATGGCTGCAGCAGAACAGCTTCAACTCTGCCACTCACAGCAGTTTATTTACAAGAAGCAGCAGATATGGGATGTGAGGGAGCACTGTCCCTTGAAGATCAGATCCAGAAGGGATAGGGTGTGGGTTAGGACCTCTACCAGCAGTGCTGTCATGTCCACTGCACTGCAGAGTCTGTATGCTGTGACCTGCTCCCCTGACCTGCAGTTACTGTGTGTCACTGAAACAGACATCATTGAAAAACATCAAAAAGGAGCCAGCAGAGCCATGAGAGTAAATAAACAGAACAAAGGAACGAGAAAGGGGACGAGAAAACTACTTCTAATTTGCTTTGACTTGAATGTTTCACCTTGATTCTTAGAATGTTTTTTTGCCAATCGGGTTAATGATCAGGGAAGAAGACAAGACAAACAAAGCTGAGGCAAAACCAAAGTCTCAACTGCCAAGACAGAAAAAAAAATCAGGATGCCTGAGTGGTCCCCACCAGAGATGACCAGATGAACTGGCACACAGAAGAACTAAAGCCCAGTATCAAGGTGCTTTAATAGGTATCCCATGATCGGAAAACAACAAGGACAACATCAGTGTTCAGAGAAAAATAAAACAGAAGCAACAAGAGAGCCTTTCTTGGACTCCTATTTAGGAATCCTCACATGCAAAGTCTTCAGTGAGTTTTTGGGTACAAGGATAATTTTAATTGAAGTGGGTGCATTTCAACATGGCTTCATCAGGCTCCCAAAATAAATTAGGGCATTGGAGGAGGAAAGAGATGAGATCACGTAGTTAATTCCCTGATCAGTTGAGTGCAAAAGGGGCTGATGCAATCCCTGTGGAAGTTGGGTGAGGTGGTGAAAGTGCTGCTACCACTGTATGTGGCACAGGTGAACTCTCACTAGAAAACCCAGGGGCTGGTGAATTATATTGCAGAAAAACTTAATAGCCTGAGCCAAGACATCTCCAGGGAGAAAAGGTAACTGAGCTTGATTTATGTAGCCTAAAAAGGGGAAGATTTCTCTAAACATTTCCCAGATTTTTATCTGGGAAAGGGAAAGAATCCATATGAAAGGATGCCAGCTATTGTTTAAAGAGCTGAACTCTTTAAAGAGCTGAACTCTTTAAACAAGGAGAAATAAACCATCAGTTACAAGTAAGTTAAGCCTGGATATTAGAAGACCATTTCTAGCTATCCTAGGAGTGACATCTGGGAGCAAACAGCAGGCAAAGACCCCCCCAAGTCAGCTGGAAATTGGAATCACCAAGCTGGAGCTGGAAGGGATCCCCAGGGGTCGTATGATGAAGCAGGAATATTCTCAAACAAAATAATGTTTGCAGTGTGAGCCCCTGGGGACCGTGTCAGTGCAGCAGAACAAAGCTGGTCCTCAGGGCTACCACGAGAGAGCCACGAAGGAAATTGCTTTATTACCTGTTCTGTAAATTAGCCTCTGGGGTTCTCCCTTTCTTTGAAGTTAAGACTGACTAAACATAGGACAGCAGTAGCATATGCCACAGCCTTGCCTGGTTTGTGTCGCCTGCTAAAACATCCAGAGCTGAACTGTTGCCAGAGGTGGCAAGAAATTAAAACCCTTCCCTTCCACCCAGCTGGGAAGCACCGTGAGAGGGAACAAGGAGCTGCTCTGCCCCACAGGCAAACCAGGGCAAACCCAGGGCACCTGGGGCTGTATGACAAAGTGTCCACACAGATTCTTCCACTCTCCGGCTGCTTTTCATCACTCATAAGGGCACACAAACATTAGTGGATCCTCAGAGTTTTCCACAGCCACAGGGAAGGGCAACACAGCCTTCAATCCTACGTTTTGACAGTGCTACATGCCCAGAGCCTCCCCCAGCAGTGTCCCTGTGAACAGCCAGACTCACACACTGGTAGAACTCGCGGTAGCGGCCGCGGGTCATGGCCGGATTGTCCCTCCTGTACACCTTGGCAATGTGGTAGCGCTTGATGTTGGTGATCTTATTCATGGCCAGGTAGCGAGCGAAGGGCACCTGAGACAGAGGGTTAAGGATGGGAAAAGGGAAGGATCATCCTCCCCAGTTATCAGTCAGAGCCAGCACTGGGTCCTCACTATCTCCCTAACATCCAAGACAGGGTGGGGCAAAGAACTGCTAAGAGACAGCAGGATTTGTCACAGTCCCTGAGGGCTCCACTCCACAGCTGTCCAGATCACAGCCCACACATACTGCCATGAAGTGTTTCTTCAGGCATCTTTCAGCAGCATTTTAGACTGGATCTCAGTCTCATGTGGGCCATCAATTCAAACTGAAGGAGAGGAAATTTAGATTAGATAGTAGGCAGAAGTTTTTGCTGTGAGGGTGGTGAGACACCGGCACAGGTTGCCCAGGGAGGCTGTGGCTGCCCCAACCCTGGCAGTGTTCAAATCCAGGCTGGATAAAGTCTTGAGCAACCTGGTCTGGTGGGAGATGTCCCTGCCAAGGGCAGGGGTTGGGACTGAATGATCTCTAAGGTCTATTCCAACCCCAAAAATTCTATGATTCTGTGTACTGCAGCAGCTGGGCTGGGTGTCCTGCTTGGGAGAAACCCCAGTCAGTACAGCTCTTCTTTATCTCTACACACATGAGGAATGGAGCTGTGTCAAGGGTGGTTTAGGTTGGATACTAGGGTAAGGTTCTATCCCAAGAGGCTGTCTGGCAGCTCCCCAGGGCAGTGGTCATGGCCCCAAGCCTGACAGAGCTCAAGGAGCATTTGGACAATGCTCTCATGCACACACAGTGGGACTGCTGGGATGTCCTGTGCAGGGCCAGGAGTTGGACTTGATGATCCTCGGGGTCACTTCCAACCCAGGATATTCCATGATTCTAAGCAACACACAGTAACAACTGAGCAAGGGCTCTGCACCCACTGAACCACACTGTCTGCTCACGCTCTCCTGTCAGTCTGGGGTCCTCCCTCCTGCCCTGGACAGCACTGCCCCAAAAGGAGGGCAGACAAGGCCTCTCAGCACCAGCTGTGGCAGGATACTGTCAGGTCATAGCGCAGGGACAGCAGCTCTCCCCCTTGATCTTTCAGATCATAGATGAGCTTCGAGTCTTCGCCGTATTTCCCTGTCAGCGTCTCCTACAACAAAACACACAAACAAACAGCATCTTCAGTAACAGGAGAACAGCCCTAAAGCACACAGAAGGCAAGGAGAGGAAGGGAGGATGCCTAGGAGGAGCTGGAAAAAGGAAACTCAACCCTTTCAACTGGAGGATCCTCACCGGGTCAGCCAACCTGCTGTGTCCTCACTCACCTTCAGCTCAAACACTGGCGTGTCGATGACTTCTGCTCCGTGGCGCTTGAAGCAGGAGATGATGGCATTGAAGACTCTCTCACGGATGGCCATTTGCTTGGGGCCATAGTCCCGTGTGCCCTGGCACGAGGGAAGGAAAGAAGGAGCAAAGGACACTCCGGATTAGAGGCATGAAGTGAGACAGATGCCAGATGCAACATGAAGAAGCTGCCATACTGCTAACAGAACCAGAGAGATCAGGTCTACATTGCAGATATTGGGAAAGGTGATAAAAACCACCACCAAAAACATTGGAAAATGTCAGGACACAGCTCTGCTATGGGCTGCAGAGTGAAATCTGAAGTCTGGAGTTTCACAAAGCAAGAAACAGAGGACCTAACACAGATCCAACAGTCAAGAGTTCAGAGCTTTTGAGCAGGAGTGCAGCCAGGACCTGGCCACAGCCCTGACCTATCAGCCAGACCCCTGCCCAGCCAGCCACCCCAAGGTGGAATCAGAGGACAGGCACACTCTGCAGCTGTGGAACCACCAGCAGCTCGGTCATTTCCAAACATACACAGATAATAATCACATTTCAAAGTGCAACACCCGTGAAATACTCATCTACAGTTCACTGTTCTATTTCTTTGCTGTTAAGGGTCACTGAATTATTTCAGTTACCACCTTTAGGCTCTCAGCAACATCTAAGTTATTGTTAATTAAATAGACCTTCCACTTTCACTTTCTGAGGCCTGGCAGTTCTGCAGGAGGAAGCAGAGACCAGGCACTTCTAACACCCCACCCATGAGTCACTCAATAACGAGTGGCTTTCAGCAGCCACTGACAGCTGAGACAGGATGAAAACACAATGGCATTTCCCTGGCACTCACAGAGCTGTAAAATCCCCTTCTCCACACCCTTAAACAGTGAAAAACCCTTTCACTTTCTAGGTCTCACACCACAGTTACATTTACCAAAACACGCAATAAAGGAAATGGACGAGGGAGACAGTTTTGGGACATTTAGATTTTGGAAAGGAATTCTGCCCTGTGAGGGGGTTGAGGCACTGGCATAGGCTGCCCAGAGAACCTGTGGCTGCCCCATCCCTGGAAGAGCTCCAGGCCAGGTTAGATGGGGCTTGGAGCAACCTGGGCTGGTGGAAGGTGTCCCTGCCCACGGCATGAGGTAGAATGGGATGAACTTTATAAAGTCCTTCCAACCCAAACCATTGCATGTTTCTATGATTTCCTATGTCAGTGGCATCCCCATAACCTGGTTTATTTTGTTTCCTCACACCACAGCATGGAAGCACAGCTGATATCTGGTCAGCTGCCAGGGATGAAACATTCAACTTACAAAACATTTCAGCACAAATTGCATTATGGATGCTATTCTTAGCTGCCTGAAAAGCTATCCCTGAGGGAAGGGTCCTTCTGCACAAGGACACAGAATGCCAACAGCTGGCCAGACCTGCCCAGCAAACAGGATTATCCGGCCCCTCAGACTAAGGCAGAGATGAGCCCTCTCATTCTGGCCAGCCACAATAAAGCTTGATTAAAGGGGGATTTAATTTCCTGACCACACCAGCAGTAGTTGGGTGGTCACAGAAGCCCCACAAAGTCTCTAAGCTAGTGAGTTTCTGGGCCAGACACTGTCAGAGATTTTTCATCCCTGCTGCTAAAAGTGAAACAGAAATGAGAACAAAGACAGGTGTGTCCATGCTGAGGCTGTGCCCACAAGCATATGTGGGTGCTGGGTGTGTGCATGAGAGTGTGAGGCACAGGAGTGTGCTGGGGGGAGTTACCTTGGGGGTCTTCAGCACAAACTTGGTCTTCCCCTCATCTCCCCTCAGCTGCTCCTTCATCTCCAGCAGCTTTTCCATGTCCTTTGTAATCTGGGGAGAGAACAAGGAGGGAGCTGGGGGTAAACCCACAGCCTTGCCCAGTATCTTCAGCCTCAGCATTCCCAGTGCACCCAGATTCCTCAATCTCCATACACCCATTATTCCCAGGCTCCCTCAGCAATCAGAAGGACACTTCCTGCTTCTCCCCAGTTCTCCCTACTTCTGCTATCAGCACCCTGATTCCCACAACCTCCATCACCCTCCACATCTGCCTCCCCTTCCCACCAGCTCCTGGTCCATGCCACCCCAGCACTGGCAGTCTCCAGCACCCTTCTCCCAACCCTAACACCCCCGGCATCCTTTCCTCCCATCTAACACCAGGAGCACACATCATCTGGAGTTGGAAGAGACCCACAAGGGTCATCAAGTTCAACTCTTGGCCCTGCACAGAACACCCCCATGAACGATACCATCTGCTTGAGAGCATTGTACCAGTGAGCACCAGTGTTACCAGCTCCCATCCCCCTGCAAACTCTCTTCAAGCACCTCAGCCCTTTTGCTTCCAGTCCAGTGTTCCCATCCTCCCTGACATTCCACTTCCCAATGACACCAGCCCCAGCCCAGCAGCACCCTACACCAGTACTCCCATAGTTTTTCTCCTCTCCTCAGCCCAGCACCTCGTTCCCCCAAGCTCTTCTTTTCCACCCCATCACCCTCAGTCGCTGCTCCCCCCCCTTCCCAGTCACAGCAGTGTCACCAGTTCCCAGCCTCCCCTGCACCATCAGCCCCTTCACTTCCCAGCCCCCAACATTCCTCTTCCCAATGCCACCAGCCCCAGTTCCCCACAGCAATCCTCCTGCTCAGCCTTTTCCTCTCCTCTCCCCATCCCACCATGTTACCCCAATCCCCCGCAGCAATCCTCCTGCTCAGCCCAGCAACACCACTCACCACAGCAGCCCTTTCCTCTCCCCCTCCAGTCCCCTCTTCCCCATCCCACCACCCCCAGTCCCCACTCCTCAGTCCTCCCCGTCACACCAGTGTCACCAGTTCCCAGACCCCCCTACACCTTCAGCCCCTTCACTTCCCAATCCTCCATTCCCACTCCCCTTGACATTCCTCCTCCCAACATTGTCAGCCCCAGCCCAGCACTCCCAGTTCCCCACAGCAACCCTCCTGCTCTGCCCAGAAAT